TGTGACGGTCAATCCCACTATTTGTGGGTAAAAGAGTAGCCCAAGAGTTGGCGGTGGGTGGTGATGATTAGCTGCCTTCCCCCTAGTCTTACACTGCTAAATAGGGACGGCTAGCGCAGATAGCCCTCGTGTAGGTTTGCGCGAAATCCATAACAAACAAACAATCGTAAAAATGTGTCACAACATTACTTAATTACTTCGTAAAAATGTGTCACAACATAACTACAAACCAATTCCTGGACACCATCTACTGTGGATCGAGGAAGCTTCATCCATTGATATATGTTTTCACAGTGATAACGTTAACTTTGTACATTTGTTTGAAATCACCAACATCCTTGTTTCAATTAATATATATCTGTAGTGAATTATCAGTAAAAATACCAGGAGTATCCAAATAATTTGGAGGTTTCAACATGGCTAAAACTGAGAAAAATAATTTAAAATTAATCAGTGTGAAACAACCACAAATTACTGTATTACATAATGAAAAGAAAAATCAACGATTACGGTTCAAAAACAAACAAACATTAGAAGCTTTGCTGCAACTGAGCCAGGTGAAGCCAGGTGTTCATATCCCGTTAAAAACACGCTCCGCACTTTGTGTACATGAGTACACTCTAGAAGTGACGGTCAAATCTAATTTTTTGAACAGTCGAGAGTAGCTCACTAGTTGGCGGTGAGTCTATCAAATTGTGAATGGCTATGTACAGATAGCTCTTGTGTGGCTTGGTGCAACTGGGAGACTAATATGTTTGATAAGAATGAAAACCCAAGAAAAAACACACATTCAGACTCATTCGAAAGACTTCAATTAAATATCCCATCGATCCAAAATCTTCTTGTTTACAGTATTTCAAGAAAGCAGAGCTTTAGAGAAAACTACTTACAACGTTCATGAGTAGGAAAGTGTAGAAAACGAACCATTTACAGTACTCCACGAAAGAAGTTTAGAGACCATGTACATATTTAACGCATGAACATGCATTTGTTTGACCATACTCTCAAGAATCAAAAGCATAAAAAGGCACTGCTTCGTTTAATTACTTATTGTAATACAAGCTTCGTCTTGCCAGTGTTGTCAAGTCTGCAAATATCTAAGAATAACTAATCTTCTACGAAATAACCAACAGTTATTTTGTCCATCGTCTTTCTAATGATAGCCGTAGGACATGCATATAATATAAATAATATTTTAAAATATTATTCAATGTTTTCTCAGACTATACGTCGTAAGTTAGTTAATGTGTTGGTATAAAACATGGATTTAAACCAGTCAATAATATCTTATGTATGCACACACTTTAAACTTAAGTTTCAGAACAATGCTAAATTATTGACAGTTTCTGTACATTAAATTATAACCAGTATTATTTTTAGATAGCTTAAATAACTTTAGTATATGTATAGTTGCAATGTTTTATTATGAATATAAGAAAGTTTACAAACAAAATTCATATTCAATAACGTATCCATTAACTTTAACCATCAGAAGAGATCGTTGACTGTCCTTCACAATCTGGTTAAACTGTTATTTATTTAAGAAAGACAAAATTCAATGGTATTGAAAAATATCTTGATTTAAAAATTCTCACCGCAGGTGTAAAAAATCCACGTCTTACCTTTCTAGGAACACATGGCAATATGCCTTTGCGTGTATTCCGATTGAAATATACACTGAAAACAATTTTCAATAGTACAGTTATCAGTTACAGGACTATGATTACTCTTATTCAGACCTGTTTCCACCTGTAAAACTTTAGTTAGGAACCATCTTTAACAGTGTTTGTAGTTCCACGTGTGCTATGAGACCACCAACTTCACTAACGGTACATCTCCTTCTGATGCGCACGTGGAGCTGCGTCGCTCACCGCGCTCAGTCTCGCTGATTTAATTTTGCACTACTTCTCTGAAAGTAATTTAGTACAATAAATTTACGTTATAATCATCTTATCGAGCTGACGTCTTCTGTTCCATCTTGTTAGGTCAGAAATATGGAGTGGTCTTAGAAAAAGCCTTGATTTCATCCATGCTCCATTACATACGCGTTTTGAAGACATATGAAAGTCTTAGAATGATATCTATCCTATATTTAATGAATGTTAAATATAGTGTCTGGTGCTGTGGTCGATTATGTATACATATCGATAAATAATTTTTTACCATGTTTGGTAAGATGTATAATTTCACATAAAAAGAAAAACTATGCAATAGATATATGCATGCATGTATAAATTATATATATGTTTGATATTCGTTAAAGTAAACGTAAACCGAGAAAATCCTTTTTATTAGGTATAATTTTCCTCACCACGTGAACGGTGGGATCTTGGTGGGACGGCACATAACTCTGGCACGCCTTATACGCCTGTTTAACCAATCAGAAACCAAATAAGATGCGAGATTCCGCTTGGCCGTTCTGACCCCTCGACCAAAGGCAAGTTTTATTGGTTCAGGTTTTCAGTACATAACAGGCACAGCAGTGTAGCTTATAAGGCTGTATCTGATGTAACTTCGTTAGTCACTTTTGGTTAGATCTTCAGTTATTCTCTGGTTGTCTGGAAAAACGACCTTCTGGACACAAAGTCCACTTGTGGAGACCATGGCCGACGACCAAAGGGTTTTAAGGGACGAACGAGTTTCGGACAAACGAAAACCGGACGATTTTGTGGCTATTTACGGCTTGAACAGCGGGACTTCCGCTTCCCGTTCACTTGTGGAGCATGGTGGTAAGTGGGGCATGCTCAGCATGATGTTTCTAATAAATTCAATAAATCATACTAAATTCTATGCGGCGCAGCGTTTTATAGGGTCTAATTGAATGTAAGTTCCACTTCTCAGTTCAGAAGCCATTACTGGAATGAAGGTTGACATGCTAGCACATCCAATGTGCTGCTGATTGGATAGAGTACATCATTAGTGATTCGACGCTTGGCCTTAATTATTTGTGAAAGCAAGACCTAAATGAATTTCTCTTCACGTAAAAATCTATTAGAGTTTAAAATTATTTATTTTTTTATTCCTTTTTTCATTTTAAAGTAGATTAGGGGAGAAACAATAAGAATAACCAATGATTATTATTGGTTTATTCGAATATTATTTATATAATGAAATTACTATATAAATTCCATAATAATTACAATTATAATATTAAAATCGTGTTAAGCAGTATTTATTCTAACACTTTCTTCATGGAATATAAAATATCATATGTTCTATTCCAAAGTAACGTTCGTTAACTTAAAGCAATGTGCATGTAAAATATATAGTTATTAACTTTATATTTTTTTCTTAAAGACGTATTAGAATAAAATATCTGGACTGTTTTATTACGTATATAGCTACTGATACTCAGTTAATTTGACTTATAATTAATGGGTATTGTGAACTAACAGTTTTGATGTTGTGACTTTTTTTTGCGTATTTTGGTTATTTTGTTTGGAGTCTCCATGCACAGACCAGGCGATACCTATGACGCTAAATCAAAAATCATGTTTATATAGAGAAAAAAAAAGGACTTCCACTTACAAATGTTTGTTACACAAATAATGATGCCTCAGAAACTAGCATAAATTATGAGTAAAATTACAGCCTTCCGTGTCAAGAACTGATAGGTGATCAGAAATTTGAGAAGAAGACAGTTTCATATGGTTGTTTGTAATATGGAAATGCTGATCTGTAAACTAATAAACTGCTAACTTGTTCAGATATCTACATGTGAGTACATTTTATCATCAAGTGATCGCTCATTGTGTTCATTCGGTGCGGCTTCTTTTTTATATGTTGTGCGCAGATGTTGTATGTTATGAATCTACTGGAATTTCAATAAGTTACGTTTCAAATTACTCACTATATTTCAAAGTTCTTCCCACGTTCTATGACAGGAACAATACATTAAAATATATATTTTTTTAATTTACGTTTGCTGATTTAATTTTTGAAATTGTTTATTACTGTTATTATATGAAAAAAATAGAACTATTTTTCTTGTAAGCGATGTTTAAGTTAATATATAACATTATACCGAATCATGAAGTTAAGCCACTGCTAGCGATTCATATCCACCTAGCCTGTTTCGCCGTTCATTGTCACTATTTATACAGTTTCTCTCCTGTATGTCATTGCGATTATCGGGTCGAACGTAGTTTGGGATTAAAGTGCCCGGACTGTGAATCTGGAGGTTCACGGTTCGTGACTCATTGCAGCAAAAAACGCGCTCCGCACTATTGGGTCGTGGGTGCTCTATAAAAAATGACAGTCAAATCCGATTATACAGTCAGACAACAGTTGGCGGCGGGTGCTGTTAACTAGCTTCTTTCAAAACTAGGAACAGGTTCAGAGATTCCATGTGTAGCTCTGCGTGAAAATCCTATGACGACTATCCAAGCAATAGCTTTTAAGATATTTCATTGATCTGGCACGTGATTAGAATATTACTCATTATATGCTAGTAGAAATAGGTGCAAAGACAAGGGATTTATTTGTTTGGAAATGGATATCCAAAATACTCTTGAAAGGTAAAATAGAGGATCATGTGGAGATGTATGGACTGAAATAACCACCCTTTCTCTACAGGTAAACTCTGGATATGGCCAGTAAGAAAAGACTTTCGTCTAGTTAGAAGGGTCTTACTTTACTAAATTCTTGGACATGTCGTAATGCAATGCGATCATTAGTAAAGAGATATTACCAGCAAGTTGAAACTTCAGAATTATGATGTCAGTTTTTCACAAGAGCGGTAAGGGATGGATAAATACTTGAAAGCTGCAGGGATAACAGATGACATTGGTAAAGTTAGAGCACCTTATTTTAGACAAAATTTAAGAAGTTACTGGACTTAAGTGTTTATGGGCTATCTCTATAGAGTGCAAGAATGTACAATGTTTTTGTCTCTGTGTTTCTTCATAATGTTTGTCTAATTAAAAATTAAATATCACTCACGTGATGCAAAGATATGTTAAATTAGGTTCCTGATTATTGCATTGTATTTCTGGTAAAATTTCAACTCTAAAAAGTAGAAATAAATGTAATTTTTGTGTAGGCAGTGCTTTAAATTGATAAAGATATTCAGTTGTTCGAGATATTTTTAGAAACAAATTTGGTGACAAAGTACTTTCATCACATCGTTGACGTGAATACAGTTATTGGGCAACAGAAGATTACATTTATTTTTCCACATAAGGCCTTTGGTGCTTTGCCGTCACACGTATTCACGACGTCAAGCCACAGATATAAATTTCTGGAAAAAATCATTCCCGTGGAATGGAATCTAATATTGAATAGTTATAGTGAACAATTTTGCAATTAATAATCCTTTCCCCTTTGGTAATTCCTACGAATTTTATTTTAACTTGTTTGGCCGGTAATACATGTAAGGTCCACTTAATGTTTACAGTTACTGTTCCTGTCTTGTTCACTAGTTCTTCTGAACCTCTCAACCTTCTGGCAAGTACAATGTGCAGATGTGTTTCTGAAAACATACTTGTTTTTAGTTACTATATTTCTCTGAGATGACAGATGAATTTATCAAAGGACTATAAGTTTATTACATATGTTCCCCATGCATGCCACTGCATATTTCGTGTAGGAATGGGTACTCGTTTTAGTGTAAGTTTAAAACTGATTTGATATTAGATTTTCATTCGCAATAGTAATAAAAAATACATTTTATTAATAGATTTCTAGCATCAGCTGAAATATTTAACAATTGTTAGATGTTCAATGCATACAATTTGTATGGCACTAAAAACAAATGATTACCATCTCTTGAAAAAATTCGAACTATGTTCATCTATTTTTATGAAATGCTTCTCTTATGGTACATTCTACTTTTACCATTACAATCGTCGTGAAAAACAACATCACACAGAGCAGTGCATTTCATCGTCGGAGAGTTGATTATTTTCATGATGGGCAGCAAGAGAACATTAAAATTTCTATCAAGAAGTCGAAACGGGATTGAATCTTCCAGATACAATGTTTGGCCACTTTATTAGGAACTATACCCAATAATGAGTTGGGTCTCCCCTTTTCTAGAATAACATCCATTATAAGACTTGGCATAAAATCCACAAGATGATGGAAGGTGTCCTGAGGATTTGTTCCCCATTCAGTCATTAAAACTGTACGCCATTCATGGAGCGAGATTGACAGAGGATCGTGAGAGCAAATGTGTCTTTCGAGCTTATCCTGCAGATGTTAAGTATTGAGATTTGAGGATTGTGGTGGTCATGAGAGATACCCAAAGTTTCCATCATGCTTCCCAAACTACGCTCGCACAATTTGGGCAGGGTGGGTAGAAGCATTGTCTTCTTGGAAGTAGCTGGCTCCGTTAGAATACACAGGAAGCTCTTAATCAGAAATGATGCTTAGGTCAGCTGTGGCATTCAATCTACTTTCCAATTGGGTCAAAGAGTTCAGGGTATGCTAGGAAGACATGTCCTAACCCTTGACTCCACCACCAAAAGCTGAGACAGTTGGGACCATACAAGAGGGGTAAGTTATTCTTGTAATTTTTTGCAAACCTATCTTCTCTCATAGCTCACTGTGTAGTTTTGTGCTTAACAACAAAACAAAGGAAATACCAATTTAAACTATATAAAAAAGGAGATTATTCTTTTTCTCAGCATTGGATTGATACGTGTTTAGTAGATATCCTATTCTACACCAAGTAGAACATTCAGTTATGCTAATTTACACAAAAACAAAAAGAAATGTAAATCATTTTGATAAGATAATAAAATTTTCTATGGTCATTTTATTTGAATGGATTTAGAAAATTTGCAATGTCAAGTTTACAACAGGGTCACGATTTAAATAAGTGCATTGGAATTCAAACTACGTTTGAGTGTGTTCGTAAAATTGTAAACAGAAAATTTTGTTTCCAAAATGACAAGACTTTGTAAAAAAGCGAGTGAGAGATTTCTAAAGAAAGGCTGTCTAGTTTGCGAAACAAGACAAGTTGCACAGATGGAATTGATGTCACGTTTAGTAACCATACTATCACACCTTAGGTATTATTTTATGTTTATTCGATAACCTGCTGCTATCTTCTATCGAGATTTCAAGACAAAAGTGCTAAGCTTATGCCCATTATATGTTGTTTTCTGAATAGATATCAGAATGAATTTGGGAAGGATTCCCAAATTCTGTTATCTTGCTGGATGGCTAAATGAGTTACATTTTTAGTAATTCGACTTGTACACGCCCGTTTAGCTCCACTTGTGTGTGAGATTCTTGTCAATTATCACGTGGCTATCTTCTCTAACATAAAAATCTGTAATGTATGCGTTGTTTTCTAAAATTTTAAATTTTGTTAGCCTATATATTTCATCAATTCTGTACTCGTATGCATATTCACATTGAATATTAAAAAAATCCTCCTTAGGATATCCTGAAGATATCAACTGATTATCAGCCACGATGTTGGACCGAACAAAATCGTTAATTAGTTTGTTAATCAGAAATTAAAAAAATATATGTAGAAGGCAACCATGAAAAAATTTGGAATTCGTTCAGCACAACCTTACTGTAAGTACCACTGGCATTATGGAAGAATAATTCTAGCTACACAGTGGCTGTACTATTTCAGAATACAGATTATTTCCAATTTGGCTTTTTTTTTTCAATTATGATCCAATATATGCATCAATCTAATATACAGTAAATTTCTTAAAATATTTGTGGAATAAATCACATTTTTATAGCCACATATGTTATGACTGTGTAT